TTCTTCCCCCGTTAATCATTAATTCCTTCCAGATGGAGAATTTCTCAACTTTTTAATAGGCATTCAGGAAATACCTATATATTTATTGGGATGCCTTTGGCTGAAGATAACAAACCTTGACTTAGAACTGCTTAAACAATTAGGAAATATACTTCAAATTGAAGGGTTCCTCTTCCCTGGCCCATCCCCAGACCTTTTTACTAACTTTGAGACAGGGTCTGGTTGCTTCAGAAACAGTGATGTCAACAAATGTGACCTTCCATCTCTCCACTTCTTTCTCCTTGGTTTTTTGGCTGCCCTCAAACTCTTAACAACAGCTGCCGGCAGAACTTGAAACAAAATAAGCCCTTGTTTAAGTCCAATGAAACAGACATACTCTTTCTTCAATTATGCCTTGGAATTGGAATTGTTAGTCAGATTCGCATTGTTATGACCAAAATACCTGACAAGAACAACTTAGGGGAGGGAAAGTTTATTTTGGCTTGTGAATCTAGAGATTTAGTTCATGGCAGGCTGGGGGTATAGCTCAGTTGGTAGAGTGATTGCCTTGCAAGTATAAGGCCCTGGGTTCAATCCCCAACACCACCCCAAAAAAGAGAGATTTAGTTCATGGCTGGCTGAGTCTATTGTTCTGGGCCCAAGATGACACAGAACATCCTGGTGGAAGGGTCCAGGGAAGATGAACTGAACCCTTCCTTCCCCCTTCCAGGGCCTGCTGCCATAACCCACCTCCTCCAGCCATGCTCTACCCTTCCTGTGAGAATGGACTGATTAGGTTGCAGCTCTCAAAATCTAATCACTTTACTTCTGAATATCCCTTCATTAACACAGGAGTTTTTTTAGGGGGGTGGGGAGGCTCATATCCAAACTACAGTGATGGCATTCCCTTCCAAATGCTTGAACCTATTGAAGTCAGTATTTCTCTTTCCCCCATTAAATCAATAAAATGCAGGTCAATGCTACATCCTGTGTGGCTACTTCTTCAAATGGGGATAAATTAGACTCCTGAATAAAACCCAGGTTGTATTAGAAAGGAAGAAGATGGATGGATATTGGGTAGCTACTCTATCATATTCTACATGTTGAATCAACTGACTTTTTTCATAGCAATTGTTAATTTGGAAAAACTCAGAAGTTATTATGGGTTCAGGTTCAAAAATTTCTTGTTTCCCAGCTGTCAGTAAGTTGCTTCTTGAAAAAAAAAAAAAAGTATTGCAGTGATCAATACAGTGGGCCAATTTTATAGAGTTATTCCCTTAATCTCATGTTCCACCACTCACTTCCATTTGTCCCCTATCATCAGCATTGCTCTGTATCTCTGAACTGAGGGTGTCACAAAATACACTGTTTCCTTGCTGTTAACATCTTAAGCAAATTTCTGGATCTGGAAGGTACTGAATGGGTAATGTCCAGCTAATTTTCTTCTTTCTAGTTAATATCAACTACCTCCTTTCTTCCTGTGGCTGTTCTTGAGATAGCATAAAGTTCTTTCCTTTCTTTTATTTTTCAGTCTCCTAAACATGCCCACAGGACTTTTCTACTTGTAAGGATTTCATATTAATTACCACAACACCAAAGGATCAGAAAGTCTTTAAATTTATTAAAGTAGCTAACTGTAGCAGTATTAAAAAAAAATATTTGCTGTCTGGTGCAGTGGCACATGCCTATAATCCCAGCTGTTTGGGAGGCTGAGGCAGGAATTGTGAATTCAAAGCCCGGCTCAGCAAAAGCGAATTGCTAAGCAACTCAGTGAGACCCTGTCTCTAAATAAAATACAAAATAGGGCTGGGGATGTGGCTCAGTGGCTGAGTGTCCCTGAGTTCAATTCCAGTTCCCACTCCTCGCCACCCAAAAGGGCTGAGGATGTAGCTCAGAGATAGTGTTGTAGGGACAAACGAAGCAAGGCACCGAAGATAGCAGGAAACAGTTTTATTTGGCTGCAGCCAGGTTCCAAGGGCACAGCTTTTGCTGTAATCAATCAATCCCTTGAACCCCAAGTTCAGGGAGTTTCAGTTTTATACCCAGCATGTAAGGGGAGGGACTCAGAAGTTCACAGTCTGCAGAAGTTCACATAAAAGCAGCTTTTTCTTTCACTGTTCTGGACAAGTTAACCCTTCAAGGACAACACCTGAGAAGGGGAGAGCTTCTTCTCCCCTTTCTTTCCTCCCCTGCCAGGTGTTACCATGGAGCCCAATTGTAGCTTATCTTAAAAATGTAGACATCTCTGTGAAGCCCAGCTCAAGGCCAGAGGCCTTGTTTGCACATTTCTTCAAAGTACTATACTGGATACGTTTGTGAAAACTAGTAAGGGGGTGTCCAGCACCTGGAGTGCTGGTATCTTCTCGGCCAGTGGCCAAGTAAAACAGGGTGACATGAAAATAGGAGGTTTATTTACATTGAACTCTTTTGCATAGACTCTTTTGCTGACAGTTCTGAAATCAGCCGTGGTAAAGATTTCTGGAGAAGCTCAGTTACGACTTTTCTGTGGAGAAAGGGAGTGCCACTTCATTAGAGCATCTCTTGATTCAATCCCCAGTACCAAAAATAAGAATAAAATTAAAAAATAAAAGATGGCTAAAAATTCTTTGACACTCTTTCCATCAAGAGAAGAGAACTCTCCTCCACCCTTGCATCTGAGTGGGTTTTTAACTGCTTGGATGCACCTATAAATCCATAATCACCCATATCAGCTGGACACTGGGTGGTAATACTTTCTGAAGTGTTTGGTGATCCTTTTACATATAGTCAACTCCTTCCCTCATTTACCATAATGGCCAATTTTAAAATTGTCTGGAATCCTCAAGCCACCTACCACAATGTTTACCCATCTTTCTTGGGAGGTGACTGACTCTTCCTTAATCAAGAAAATCAGGACCATTATATATAAATGACTTTAACTTTCTCATTCATCCTCTGAAAATAGACTTGCTTATGCACCACCTCACCTCCTGCCTTCAGCTTGGAGGATGAGGTGTTCCATATCCAGTAGAAAAATAACTCCCTGCCCATGTTTTGTTCTAATCTCTTCAAGATCCACATTTGCTTTATCAAGTATTCCCTCTTTGTCAGACATCTGATCTCTCCCCTCTACTGGCTTCTTCCAAAGGTCTATAAACAAACTCAGGTCACTCACTTAAAGTAAAACAAAATCTTCCTCTTTTCTTGATTCTCTCTAGCTGCCATCCTCTGCCTCTCTCTTCTTAATTTATCACTCAAGACCCTTGGTTTTAAGCAAACCGTATCAGAATATGAATATACTCAGTAAGGAAAGGAATTTATTGGATTGAAACAGGAGGCAGATCAGCCCATTCCTTTGCTGGGATGTTAGGACCTAAACATCTCCTTCCCCCATAAGTTAACAAGTGCCATTTATTCAGGATTCAGCATCCCAGAAAAAACTATTGGACCACACCTGTCCTGTAGCTGTCTGTGTCAGTTTGTTAGGCCCACCATAACAAGGACATAGAAATGTGTTAGGCAGAGAGGGTTAAGGCCACCTGCCTCAGGAGTTTACAAATGGAGTAGATAGCTCATGACCATTGACTCCACTGGAGATTGAAGCTATGCACCGGATCAAAAGTTTGAGACCAACCTCCACAATTTAATGAGACTTTGTCTCAAAGCTAAAAAAAAGATAAAATAAAATAAAATGTGCTAGGGATGTAGTTAAGTGGTAGATCAATCCCCAGTAGGATTTTAAAAAAAAGCTAAGACCATCTCTCCCTCTCTGAAAATTGTGTACTTTGCTCTGCACTATTAAATTAACCCTTGTAGCTGGGCACAATGGTGCATACCTACAACTGGGAGGCTGAGGCAGGAGGATCACAAGTTCGAGGACAGCCTGTTCAACTTAGTGAGATCTTGTCTCAAAAATAAAAATAAAAAAAAAAAAATTTAAAAGGGATTGGATGTAGCTCAGTGGTAGAGAGCCCTCTGGGTTCAATCACCAGGAAAAAAGGAAGGAAGGAAGGAAGGAAGGAAGGAAGGAAGGAAGGAAGGAAGGAAGGAAGGAAGGAAGGAAGGAAGGAAGGAAGGAAAAAAAGAAAGAAGGAAAGAAATTAACTCTTATAAAACCCCAAATTTGGCGAGTACTCAAGTACTGCATGAAACCTGCTGAAGTCTCCCCACCCTGTTACTTTCTCTCCTGCTCCCTCCTTCTTATCTGACATCTCCTCTGCGGCTAACAATTCCTTCCTCTATTTGAAGGCCACAGAGAGTCAGAGAAAAAAATAAAATATCAAAGAAGAAAAACTAAAGTGAATGCTCCACACCTCAGAAGGATACACACCCTTCACCTCAGAGATTTTCATAGATCTGAAGGCATTTTTTGTGTGCATTTGTGTGAAGGGTACTGGGAATTGAACCCAGCAGCACTCTACCACTGAGCTAAATCCCCAGTAGTTTTTATTTTTTATTTTGAGAAAAGGTTAGGTGAAGTTGAGCAGGCTGACCTGGAATTTGCTATCCTCTTGTCTCAGCCTCCCAACTTGCTGAGACTGCAGGCATACTCCACCACACACAGCTAGAACTTAAATTACTACTTTCTGTATGCGCACAGGTCCTGAGCTGGGTGGAGATGGGTCTTGGCCAGGCCAAAGAGGGAGAAATTCTGACATAGAACCAGGGCTTCTGGGGGGACTGGCCCTCCCTCTTGAGGGTCATCCTCAGGGTTATGCACACCATTCTTGACACTGTGTGGACCCAACCCCAAGAGATAGGAGGAAGCATCCTGAGATTGCTGAAGATATACTCTGATAGATCCTCTGTGTGTCCCTCAAGTGCTTGGTGGTGACCTGCCCTGAACAAAGGGGACAAACACACCTTGGGCTTTTCCTTCAGCTCTTTTGCTCCCATCCCTGCTCTATTCTGGGGTTCACTTGTTGGAATTTAGATCTGAGAACCATATGATATTCCCGGAAAAGGAACCTGTTTAGTGATGGTCTGGGGGATGGGGGAAAGGCGGTTTTACTTCCTCTCTTCCAGTTGTCTACGTCCTTTAAAGGGCTCCGGATATCTGTGGTGACTCCTTCACGCTAAGTGCAGCAGCAACATGGAACAGCTGTTGCCACCAACGGCTCTGCTACTTCTAGGTAAGTCAGGGCCCCCTGACTGAGGGAAAAGATGCCCTGGGGTGGAACCCCCACCAAAGGATAGGACCCCTCACCACATCTATAGCCTTGAATTTAGCTTCTAGGACAAACTGTCTGGGGGGCGCTGAAATGCACAGAATGCTGTTTCTGATTTGTGTATCATTCGAAGGTAAAGGGAGACTTTGCGGTCAGTTTCTTCACCCCTCTAAGTCTCTGTTTCCCTATGTGCAAATTGAAGAGCATGAACTAGATGATTCCTAAGGTCTGTCTCTTTCAGTCTGACATACCAGCATCCATCCCTTCTACAACTTAATTTTGACTCCTTCAAGAAATTTTAGGTTCAAGTTGTTTCTGTAGCTTGATTCAGGGAAATTCAATCTTCACCCTTAATTTGTGACTTTGAACAGGGAACAAGGAGTAAGGGAACAGTGTCAAAAATAGGGATTTTGGTGTTCAGTGGAAGTAGGAAGCCCAGACACTGAAGACCAGAGGGCAAACCAAAAGGCATCCACTATAAATATCTCCATTCTTGGGAACGCAGTGCTCCCAGGGTTGGGGTGGGTGGAGACAGCTTTAGATCACTTTATACTGTAGTCACCCTGGTCTCTGTTCTTGCTCAGTGTCTAATTCACACTTTTTTTTTTCCCCTTGTAGTTTCAGCTGGCATGCAAGCTGGTGAGTTTGGTTTTTGGTTTCTTTTGTTCGTTTTTTGGGGAGTGTTTTTCCCACCACAGTGCTGGGGATTGACCCAGGGTTTCACACTTGCTAAGCAAGTGCTCTACCACTGAGCTACATGCCCAGTCCGTGAGTTTGCTATGATCCTGAATTAATCAAGTAAGGTACATATGGTTGCAACAGTCACAGGATGTTAGGAAATGACCATTGCGTGGGAAACTGTTGCTATGGGGTAGATAGGAACAGCTTCCCCAATACCACTGGGCTTGGCCCAGTGCCTCTCTGGCCATTTTCTTCAAGGTACAGAGCAGGCAAAAAATGGGGCCAAGCTCCTCCTGGTCAAAATGCTCTAATACTACTAGCTGGGTGCGGTGCTGCCTGCCTGTAATCTCATCTACTCCTGAGGCTGAGGCAGAGAATAGCAAGTTCAAGGTCAGCCTGGGCAATTTAGCAAGATCCTATCTCCAAATGAAAAATAAATAGAGCTGAAAATGTAGCTCACTGGTAAAGCAACCCTGAGTTCAATCTTCAGCACTGAAAACCAAAAGCAAAACAAAAATAGAGGCTCTTAAGGTTGAGTCATACATTCAGCCTAAGTTACCTACTGTGGGTTTGCAACGGGCTCACTCTGGCTTTGAAGCTCTCTGGGAATGCCAGTGTGGGGTGCGCTCACCAACTGTTCTCATTCCATATTCTCTTGACTTCTCAGAAGATCTCCCAAAGGCTGTGGTGCTCCTAGATCCTCCATGGGACTGGGTGCTCCAGGAAGACAGTGTGACTCTGAAGTGTCAGGGGGCCCAACACCCTGAAGACACTTCCACACAGTGGTTCCATAATGGAAACCTCATCCCAAGCCAGGCCTCTAGCTACTTCATTGAAAAAGCCAAAGATAAAGACAGTGGAGAGTACAGGTGCCAGACCAACCTCTCCATGCAAAGTGACGCTGTGCATCTAGAAGTCCACACTGGTAAGCTGGTGAGGGGGAAAAGGGAACTCACCAGTAATGGGCCCTGAAATACTTGGGAAGAACTAGAAGATGATGTTCTTGAAGATTAAAAACAAGATGAGATTTTAAAAATATATATTATGAAATGATGTGTCATCCCACTGAATGATATAAGAATTGTAGTTCCAGTTGTATGTAGGCCTTAAACAAAATATCAAAGTCTGTCATATAGGGAATACAGGACTGTTTCACTGCACAAACCAGAGAATCATCATTCACACAAAATGCACAATGTGAATGTATCATCTGAAGGTCACGGCATGACACTGAGTCTCAATAATATTTATTTTAAAAATCAAAAAATTATTTTTGGAATCTCAATATTCTTCTCATTCTCAGGTCTGTAATACCCTAAGCCTCCCAAACTATCCAAGATTACCTACCATCTTCTCTCTTTTCCCATCAATGCTGTACTGAAATTCACACTTCAGGGTAAATTTGGCAATGTGATACCCCTGATAATAAAGGTAGATACATTTTCAGCCTGTATATTAATCCTGGAATGAAAGTATTTGTATGTTAGCAGCATCTCAACAACAGGAGCAGGCAAGAACTTTTTTGGTTTTGTTTTTAGTTTTAGATTGAACGCAGGGATGCTCTACCAGTGAGCTACATCACCAGCCCTTTTTCTTTATTTTGAGACAAGGTGACCCTAAGTTGCCCAGGCTGGTCTCAAACTTGCAATCCTTCTTTTGTCTCAGTCTCCTGAGTTGCTGAGAGTACCAGTGTGCACATTTTGGAGACAGGTGTCTTTCCTGGTATCCTTCAAATATCTGTAGTATTACCATGAAAGCCTGACTCTATTTCCATGGCTGCCCCACAACATATATGGATGAAACAGGCCTGGAGGGGAAGGGGAATATAAAAAGAGTGGGTCTGCAACAGTTTCATGAAATTGGACCTATGATCTGGGTGTGGTGGCCCACACCTGTAATACCAGGAGGCTGAGGCAAGAGGATTGCAAGTTCAAGGCTAGCCTGGGTAACTTAGTGAGAGCCTACCTCAAAATAAAACACAGAAAGGAGAGAGGACGTAGCTCATTAGCAGAACATTTGCCCAACATACCCAAGTCCCTGGGTTCAACCTCCAGTTGTAATGAGAAAAAAAAAAAAAAAAGAAAGAAACTCCTATAACTGCCTATTCCTTCTTGAAGTCTGCCATTTTTTTTTTCTAATGGGACAAATTATCATTTTCTAATGTAGTTTTTACCTTCAGTCTAGAATTTACTGTGAATTCTTATTATCTTACAAAATTAATCCAGGTCTAATACTTAAGAATCCTGCAGAATCTTGACTTCTCGCCTCATTCTTAGTCCTTTTGCTCTACCTTAATGTTTTGATCATGTGTATGTCCTTCTTCTCCATTTTTTAGATAAAAAGGCCCAGTCAGGTTTTTCCCAAAGGGTGTTATGTATGATGGCTCCTGGTCTGACTTTTCATTATGTCCCAGGATCTGGGTGGTGAGTGTCACCTTCTAAAGAGCTCTGTCTGCATAGACAGCTTGGGCCTTCTGACCTAAGGTCTCTCTGTGTCTCCAGGCTGGTTGTTGCTCCAGACCCCTAAGCGGGTGTTCCAGCCCGGGGAGCCTCTTCGGCTGAGATGCCACAGCTGGAAGAATAAGCCTGTGCATAAGGTCACATATTTACAAGATGGCAGAGGCAAGAAGTATTTTCATCACAATTCCGAGTTGTACATTCCGAAGGCCACATACAAGGACAGTGGCTCCTACTTCTGCCGGGGGCTTATTGGGAATCACAACCAATCTTCAGAGTCTGTGAACATCATCATTGAAGGTGAGAGCTATTCAGCCTTAGAGCACCCAAAGCTGTTTGGAGTTGGTATTCACACTGGGAAATATGTTAGGCCAGGTAATCCAAGTGACTCAGGAGGTTGAGGCAGAAGGATTGTAAATTCAAGGCCAGCCTCACCAACTTAGTGAAGATATCAGCAACTTAGCAAAACCCTGTCTCAAAATAAATAAAAAATAAAAAGGGCTGGCAGTTCAGTTCAATAACAGAATGCCCTTGAGTTCAATCCCCAATCCTGTTAATAATAAATTTTTAAAAATGTAAAAATTAAAAAGAAAATTAGTTGGGAAAAGATACCTAATTCCTCCACAGACTTATTTATATCGAGTTCTTCCTAGTGACCAGTAGACACCCTGGTTGCTGGGTAGGTTTGCAGTTCTGTTCTAGCCTGTTGCTAAGGGGTAGCCAAGAAGTGCCATTCACTCTGCAGTGTGAAAGCAGGAGCGGGAGCCACATTTCCTTACCTATAAATAGACCTCTCCTTACCCCAACATGCCTGCAATATCATGTGACCCTGTCATGCTGGCCCATCCTTAAAAGCACTCCTTTCCCATGCAAGCCTTGTTTGTTAATCAAGAGTCAGACTGGCAGGAACCCCTCAATTATCATAGAAAGGACTCTGAATCTGGGTTCTGAGGTTAATTGACTGTGTGACAGTAGGCAAACCATGTAGTCTCTTTGAACCTCAATTTCTTCTCTGTAACAAAAGCAAACTGATATTTATTAGGCATCTTTCAATATGCTAGATTTTTGTTGGGGTGTGGGGGGGGCAGAGTGGTTTGGTATTGGGTACTGAACCCAAGAGCATTGTATCACTGAATTACTTCCCCAGCACTTTTTATTTTTGGTACTAGAGATTGTACTCAGAGGCACTCAGCCATTGAGACACATCCCTAAACCTTTTGGGATTGTATTTAGAGACAGGGTCTCGCTGAATTGCTTAGCACCTCGCTTTTGCTGAGGCTGGCTTGGAACTCGCAATTCTCCTGCCTTAGCCTCTTTAGCCACTGGGATTACAGGCATGCCTGGTCCATTATTATTATTATTATTTTGAGACAGGGTCTCACTAAGTTGCTGAAGCTAGCCTTAAATTTATAATCCTCCTGCCTCAGCTTCTCAAGTTGCTGGAATTACAGACATAAACCACCAGTATCAGTACTGCAATAAATAGTAAAAAGGAAGTAAATACAGCTATCACTCGGGATCTGTGGGGGGGATTGATTCTAGTCCCCCCACCTACATGCCAAAATCTGAAGACGCTCAAGGCCTTAGATAAAATGGTGTAAGTATTTGCATGTAACCTGTGCATGTCTTCCTATTACTTTAAATCTTGTTTAGATTGTATTAGATACTTAACGTAAATATTACACAAATAGCTGTTATACTGTATTGCTTAGGGAATAATGATAATGAAAAAAGTCTGTTTAGTACAGTCACAATTTTTTTTAAAAAATATATTTTTGATCTTCAGTTGGTCAGATCCTCAGATGTAGAACCCACAGATGTGGAGGGCCTATATTACCCTCAAATGGTTAGGAAGAAAGCAAATGGTAAAGCAATGGGGAAAAATGTAAATAATCAGTGAATCTGGGTGAAGGATACATGAGAGTTCTTTATATTATTCTGGTAGATTTGTTCTGTTTGAAATTATATCAAAGTTAAGTTCAAAAATTGAAACAAAAATCCACAAATTTGTGCCAACAGCAACAATTTCATAATCATCACACAACTTCTATTGACAACCTAAGTTGCTGGAAACTCCCTGTCACATTCCCACAAACAAGCTGAAGCTACGGCTAAAAGTGTTGAACAGTGGCATAGCAGTAAGATTGGGAGTCAGTGGAAGGGAGCAAAGGCTTCCCTTAGGTTCTCCTCTCATTCATTCCCTAGAGTCTGTCTCTTGGTAGGTGTCAGGAACACTGTCTACTGGTGGCCTCACTATTTATTCCAAATTTCTGCCCTAATAACTGTCATTTTTCTTGTTTCTCTACTTCTCCTAGGTTCAGCATTTCCATCCACCTCCTCAGTTTTTCTACCTTGGCACCAAATTGCTTTCTGCCTGATGATGGGACTCTTATTTGCTGTAGACACAGGGCTATATTTTTCTGTGCGAAGAAACCTTCAAAGTTCAGGGGGAGACTGGACCAAACACAAATTTAGATGGAGCCGGGACCCTCAGGACAAATGACCCATGGGGTAATAAGAGCACTGGCACAGCTTCTATGAACCTCTCTGTGTACAGCAACCTCATCATCCCCATCAGGCATTTCTTTGAGCAGCAGAAAAAAATACAACTCAGAGCCTGGGCCGAAGGCACTTCTCCCAACTCTCTGTTTCCTCCAGGTCTCTGGTGAAAAGGAAAGGCCAAAAGCAATGCCCCAGTGAGAAGCTGGGGAATTCTCTCAGGAACTGAGTGTAGGAGCTATATACTTTCTCTGGCTCAACCATTCCCTCACATACTCTGCATAATGAACCTTTAAACATAAAAATTGTTCCTGAATAAATGAATAACTAGATAAACTATTAACAGTTGAGGAAGGGCCAGAATGATAGTGGTCTGGTTGCCTTCAGGGGAACCCCAAACTCCTTCCAGATAAAGGGTGGGAACTCCTGGGGACCTAGGCAATTCAATAGACCTAATGAAGGGGATGGCTGAGAAAGAGCAGGGAAGTCCAGAATAGACCAGGGGAGGTATCCACATCTGGACCCAGAGGTAAAATTGCCGAAAGCAGGAGGCATGTTGGAGTCAACAGGAAATTATAGCCATGACATCTGAGTTTTCCAGAGGAGTATCTATCAAAATTGGAATGGTTTATGAATATATGATAATGAACCCTTTTAATGCATGAGTAGGCAATAAGCCTAGGAAGGGGGCTGAAGACTTGGGGGTGGGGTAGAGAGCTGAGGTTGAAAAAGAAAGCTTAGATCAGACAGACTTGTGTTATGCTAAGTGAAACAGAGACAGTTCACTCTCTGAGCTGAGAAAAGCAAGGCAACAAAGAGTCAAACACAAGTTCACAGGAAGGAATGGTCAAGGAGTGAAGACACTTGTTGACCAATGTAACGAGACAAGGAGGAGCAGGGACTTTAAATACAGCTTTTCTGTTTCAATATCTAATTCAGATATAACTTTGTTCCCATTATTCATTGAACAAATGTTGGATAACCAACTCCAAATGTCCTGAATTCTACTGACTGAGTTAAATTGTGAAACTTTGAAATCTCTCAGCATAACAGTTCCAATGGGGTGGGGGCAGGGAAGGAAAACATTGCTTATGGAAGAAAGCTTTAACTATCTCTTTCTGTTCTAGATGTTTTTAACAAAACACTTTTGCTTTCAATAAAACATTTTACAAGATCTTGCATGCGACAAAGATGGAAAAAAAACATGGTAATAAAATACAAATGATAGGATCTGTTTTTCCCCTTCTTTTGTCAAAAATCTGTGGGGGTTTAGTTTGGATTTATGCAAAACCACATTCTACTCAGCAACCATTTTACCACAACTCCTATGAATTATTAACTTATTTTTAAAATCTTGCTGGACAACTGAGTAAAATGGGATTTTTTATAAGCTACATGTGATAGGAAGATGAATGGGAGTTAGAGGTCATTTCAGCACATTGGGGCTGTTAGGAAAAGCCACAGTTACTAAGGAGGTTAGAGGCCTGGGCAGAGGTTCAGCCTAATTGTGTGGTTTATACCAAGTATAATTGTATAGTTTGTATACCAAGATCATTCAAAATGAGTTTATGAATATTAGGTAAGATTTAGACATGAGACAAGTACATTTGGTAACCTTGCACTTTCACTCATATTTATTTAGTTCCTACAACATGCAAAGGTTGAGTGTAGGTGATGAAGATATTAGACACCTCAGGGTCATTGTCTGGAGGAACTTTGATTATGAAGAGAAAAACAGGCAAATAGGAAGAGAACAAAGAATCCCCTTAGGCGGTGAAGGATAAGCAGGACTTGCCAGGCAGAAGTCCATGGGTTCAAGAAAACAGTTTGATTCTGTTGGAAAGGGGAGAGTTCTGGGCACACTGTGAAGGGCACTGCCTGCCAAAGTATGGAGGTTGTATCGGACCCATCGAGCCATTGAGGTAATTGAAGCAGATCAGGTTTGTAGTTTAGAAAGATTCCCTGGCATATACCTGGAAGATGGACAGGAGAGAATAAAAGGCAGGAAACTCGCTAGGGTGCTAGGGTAGGTATTGCAACAATCCAAGAGGAAGCTGTCCTACTGACTGCTAGGCTGAACAAGTCTGGTTGAAAAATATTTAGGAAGCGAACTCTCCAGGAATTGGCAGCCAGTAGGACTCAGCGTGATTGTGGATCCAGGTTCAGGGCTTGGTGCCCTTTTGATGACGCAGGAAATACAAAGGCGAGGCAAGAACAGGTTTGGTGGAAAAGATAATGAATTCGTTTTTAGATTATTAGTCCTGAACTTGCTTCCTTTGGTTAGTAAATTCTTGTAAAAACCTAAATTTGTGGTGCAGTTTCAGTGGTTAAAGGGAAAACAATACTTGCTTTTTCAAAGTTACCAAACGCAACCCTACTTTCAAAAGCAGGGGGTGAAACAGCTAAGGATGAAGACTACAATAACAACCATTTCCGGGCTGCTAGCGGTTACACGTGGTGGAGTTTCAACCTGCACAGGCCTCACGGTTTACAAAATACACCTTTTCGTCCCTGGGTGGGCTCGAACCACCAACCTTTCGGTTAACAGCCGAACGCGCTAACCGATTGCGCCACAGAGACAGGCGCTGAGAGAGAGAGCTGCCAAGTTAATTCATTGAAGAATAAATTCGTAGTGCTCTTTCCGTCCTAAAAATTTATGCTTAAGGCAGACCTAGGAATCTGGAGGCACCTCGGTTGCAAGCACACCAAGGCGCCGAAGTGGCGCGTCTTTTCCCGGGCTAGCACCTGGTTAGGTCTGGAACAGGACTCAGCTTCTACCCGCAAGAGGCTGAGGAAGAGGAAGCCAAGGAGGACAGACGAGCGAGAAAGTCTTTAGAAAATCCCAAAGAATGCTCTCCGTGGGTTTGGGAGTTCAGTTGATTTTGCTCAGAAAGATATGATAATAAGCTTTAAGCTTTTTTTTTCTTTTCTTTTTTTTTTCTTCCTTTTCTGATGTAGACTATTTAGGTAGCATATATATGGGTAAGTAATGACTTACGATTGTGAAACTTAAAATATTGTATCATGATTGTATCCAACTATGTCTGAAAAATACAGTAAGGGTGTTTCGAATAACAATATTAATCTTCAACCCCAGCTATTTAAAAAGATTTTTACTAGTATATTAAGCACCCAGATAGAACACGGAATTTATAAATACCCACAACTTCAGTACTCTCCCACTGACATATTGAGATCCAGACCTCTAAGAGTGGAGACTCCTCAGTCTATCACCATGAACTTAGGGTCCTCATCAGGTCTGGTCTAATAAAGAATTTTCTTTATTAAGGAAGTCCCAGGCCTCAGGAGCCTCCACACATAACCTCTCTTTCTGCATTGCCATTGTCTTATCAATGGGTTTCAGTTTAGGCTCAGTTTTCAAAGATTTCAATGAAATTAAAATACACACATAGTGTGCATGTGCAAAAATTATAGATGAATACATATATAAATATATTTTTCGCAAAATACATACATGTGTTTGTATTGTACATATAAACATATATTTGCCAAATGACCATTAAATTGAGATTATTTGTTACACTCTAATTTTTTTAAGTCCTTTCTTTTATAAAATTATAATTAGGATAGAGGAGAGTTGTTGAGGATATGATTGTTTTTGTTAGTGTACTAACTTGACAAAACAAAAAGTTGGGAACCCTCTCCTGGTAACCAACATTTGGGGGAAAATTTTGCTCATCCATGAAATCCAAATTGGGAACTATGCTGAACTTCACCTCCTTTGTTAGATTGACAGTAGAAATAAAAAGCATTACTCTCTAGTTTATTTCCTATGTTTCACTTTACATGCACACAACAGCAATCCAAACCAAAGCAAGAGAAAAAAAAGAAGCAGCATTTTATTTTAAAAGATAAAAGAAAACTTGAGGCCAAAAGAAAGTGCAAAATGGGATGGTGATAAACATATCAATATCTATAATAAGCAAACAAAACTTGCCAATTAAAAGAGAAAGTGGAGTTTTAAAATCAAGTTTTCTGTTTAGAAGACATTAAAATTAAAAAAAAAAAAAAAAAAAAAAAGAGTGGAAAACGATGTGCCAGGATAGAGCAACCTGAACTCTGCTCCATTAATGATTGCCAATCTGGTCAATTTGATCCTTTAAGGCTGTAACTATTCACTATGGGTAGGTACTACCTTGTAGTCATTCTTGTTTGTGGCTACTGTGGGAAGGGCAGCCTCCAAGAGACCTTGATATTAAAAGTCCTGGAATTAACAGGAAGAGCCAACAGATAGTAACAGATCACAGGGAAGGCACAAACCAGATGTTCTTCCTGTGACAGGATGGAAGCTTTGGGGCTGATAGAAACATGGGCTGAGAGAGCTAATGGATTGCTGAGATGCAGATGCCACTTCTTCCCATCCCGGTTGAAATTCACCTCCATTCTACAGGGCAAGATTATTTAAATCCCAAATACCCTACCACACAGGCATTACAGCTTTTATTTTAATAATAGGAAGGATAATTACTGCTTTCTCATAACCAAACACCATTCTAAACATATTGTAACCCTTTGAGAATTGCGATTATTGTCATTATTTTGTTTTGCAGATATGAGGGAACTCAGACAAAGAGAGCCAAGTTTCAAACACAGGAAGTACCACAGAGCCTTGGCACTTCACCCCCACACTGTTGCCTCTTTCAGCCTGAATGGTTGGATTCAAAGTAATTATTAATGTCATTCCAATAAATGTTTTTCATGTATTAGAGATAGCAGATGTGTAAAAACCTTCAAACAGTATTTTAAAGACTAAGAACAAAAGCAAACAAACAACTACAACAACAACAACAAAAAAGACTTGAAAATTTGTGAATTCAATTGCTGTTTAGTCCAACAGATGATAACAGATCCAGCATCATGTTACAACATACTACTTATTGAGACTACAAATCACTTAATGATTGTCAATTTATCGAGAAGCAATTGGAGAAATTTGATCCTTCCCCCCGCCAAAAAAATGGATCGCTGTCTCTCTCCTAACTCAGTTCCAAATCAAAATCAAACTCAAGTACATCTTACTGGTGAGAACTAACTCAAAACCAAAACTACAGCTGTAGGGGTATTTTAGGGGACAGATGAGGCAGGACACTGAAGATAGCAGGAAACAGTTTTATTTGGCTGCAGCCAGATTCAGAGAGCACAGTTTTCGCTGTAATCAATTAATCCCCTGAACCCAGAATTCAGGTAGTTTCAGAACTTTATACCCAGCATGTAAGCAGAGGGGCTCAGAAGTTCACAGTCTGCAGAAGTTCACATTAAAGCAGTTATTTCTTTCACTGTTTGAGGCAACACTTCTCCCCTTTCTTCCTCCCCTTGCCAGCTGTTACTAAGGAGCCCAATTGGTAACTGCTCTTATCTTTGAAATGTAGACATCTCTGTGAAGCCCCAGCTCAAGGCCAGAGGCCTTGTTAAAGGATCTGTCATTTTTTAAATCACATTTTGTGTTTGCAAACACACTTCTGCAAACTACTATACTGGATAAATGTTTGTGAAAAAGCAGTAAAGGGGCATTCAGCACCTGGAGTGCTGATTTCTTTCAATCCAGTGACCAAGTAATAGAGCAACAAGAAAACAGGAAGTTTACCTACATTGAATTATTTTATAGAGACTCTCTTGCTGGTAGTCTTAAAATCCATTATGGTGAAGATTTCTAGAGAAGCTTAGTTAAGATTTTCTGTGGAGAAGTGGGTGCCACTATAGATTTATCACATGTCATATCTCAAAATAATTTCAAAAAGAAAAATACTGCCAAAGAAGCAAAACAAACAAACAAACAAATAAACAAAAAACAAAACAAAACACATGAAATTAAAAAATTGATTTGTGGGCTGAGGGCCTAGCTCAAATGTAGAACATGTGCTTATAAACAAGGCCATGGATTCAACCCCTGGCACCAAGTAACCAAGTAAACAAACAAAACAAACACCTGATCTAATACTCAATCATTCTATGTATAAAAAAATTACCAGGAAAAATATTTGACTACATAAAAATTAGAAACTCCTCAATTTCCAAAAGAGTGTGAATAAAATTAAAAAGCATTTCCAGTTTCTGTAGTGTTAGATTAGCTTGAGTGAAACTAATCACTACACATATAAAAAACTATAAACTCTGGACTAAAGATTTTTTCAAAAATCTATTTGTGGGCACTGGAGAGC